ACAGAGAGAAAGAAAAATGCCTTATGGAGTAGTGGGAGAGAGAAAAGAAGCAGACAAATAATATAGGACAGATTGAAACAAAAAAAACCAACAAAAACAAAAAATCCCCCCAACCTGCTGGATTCAGAGGGAAATAAATACACACTGGAAAAATAATTCCCTGGAAAGTGCATGCTGGGCAGTCTCAGGAATCTTGCTTTCTCTAGGCAATACTATGTACAAAAATGATTTTAAAAGTCAGATGCTTTTGAGGATGTTTACTCTTCAAGGAATGTCATGTCACAAAAGGAGGAGTCATCTCAGGACAGACCTTACACTCTCTCTAGGTAGACACTTTCAAATTTTTTTCTTTCTATTTTTCAAAGACACAGACTTTTCTCCAGTTTCTCCAAACAAAAGGCATTTCACATGTTTACCTGTTTCTCAAACCAGATTTTAACCAGAAGTGAGAGATCTGACAGAACAGATTCAACAGAAGGGTACTGGCATGAGCCAAAGACTAAGCCTCTGGAGTGAGTAATCAGCTTTAACATTGCCCAAGTGTGAAACAGAAGCGAAAAGGAGACAGAGGAAATGCAATTTTGTGACAATGCTGCTAAAGTTGGGCTTGCTTTCTCATGAGGTACTTGGTCCTCTCCGGGCAGCTCCTCTCTTACTGTCCAGGAAGAGCTGCTAACAAGCTCCCACCGGGTGTAAATGAGGACTAAGCCCCTGTCTGGGAGATGTGCTGCCACAGAATGGGTGGCTTTGTCCCAGTGTGTAAGATATGCTTGCAGGCTAAGGCACACAAAATGTTCCTCTCACACATGAAAAAGGGGCTGAGTGTGAGTGGGAGGACTCCAGAATGCAACAACAGAACAAAGAATACAGGGAGCAGCTGATCTGCTCCCCTCCTTATTAACAAGTTTGGCTGTGGCAGACAACACTGAGCTGGTGAGCATTAACATAGAGAGGGCAAGCTTCCCATTGCCCATGAGGAATGAAATCTTTGCTGAGAGAGCAGAAGCCACGTTCTTCAGCAAATTAGATGCATCAGCTGGGGTTTGGCAGAACCTCCTGAGCAAAGGACTCCAAATCTGCACTTAACCACTCACTTGGACAGTCTTTCAAGAGATCTTGAGTGTTCCTACTATGGACACTCACACGTTGCAACGTTAGGAAATCTTTCTGCAGGGAACACACATACCGATAACCTAATGCTTCTATGTGGCATAAGGCTTGACTATTTAGAAATGTTTTGGAAAGCATCAGAAATAGGACCCACAAAGATAAAATGAAAGACAAAATACGAAGTCAGAGATGTGAGGTACACCTTGGTGGTGATGTGGAACATCCTAGCCATGCCGGGAGTACAGACTGACCATCAGAGAGCACTCCTTCACACAGACACAGGTCAGGTGCATGCTGAGCTCAGAGCAGCTGGAATGGGCTATGAGATTGGAAAGCTAAAACTGATGATGCTAACTTGCGCTTTCAGGAAAAAAATGGCACAAAAAACCACCAGGAAAGGGTAGCACTCTATGTAAAAATATGCTGCTACTGGCTATAGACTTTTCAAAACCACAGTGCTTCACAACTGCAGTTGTAATGAATAAAACTGAAGGAGAGTTGATTGGCACACACTGAATCATTAAACTATTGGATCTTACTAAATAACAGGACAAACTGCTCTTTATGTAGCAACCTAGATCATGTAGGAAGGAAAAGAAGTAAAACAGAGGACATTTAATATACATTTTGTGCAGTCAGTAATACAAAATATCTGCTTCTAAAAATAACACAAAACATTTTCTTTACAGATGTGAATAATACACACTGTAAGTCTTCATGAAACTTGACAAGGAAAAAATCACACAACGCTGTATTTTTATAAATCTTAAACAAATGGAGAAGTTTCTATGAATCAAAGAGTTACCACTTCAACTGTGTTTTATAAAGTGGAAAAGACCAGTTATTCTGACACATTCTCTAGCCAAGCAATGGAACAACTGGTTTCAGCTCTCTACCAGCAGTAACTTGGAGGATTTAGCAGTATTCACTTTGGCATGCAAAACCAGACTGAGCAGATGATGCATCTTGATTGCATAAGATTAAAACAAAGGGCAGATAATTAAATATGAAATATGCTTGCAGGATGGTGTCATTTCTCTCCTTCATTCGCATCTCTACAATTTTAAACAAAATAACTAGTGGTTTCATTAGGAAACAATTGCAGCATTCTCACAGTCCCATGCAGGCAAATAGCTGCAGTCTAGTTTTACTGTTCTTACACCCACAGAGAATTCTGTTTTGTTTTGACCTCTCATTACTTTCCCTCACACACTTGGCTCCAAACATCAAATTTTGCCTCAGCCATTCAACAGTTATTCCTTTGGGCTGGTTTTTTTTCTTACCATTATGCATTCATATAGAACAGCTGGAACTAAGAAAAAGCACAGTTAATTATTTCTAAATTTCCCAAAGAAAACCTTTTTACTTTTCTTCAGTTTGAAATTACTTTTTGGTTTGAGGAAGAAGAGAAAAATTGCCTCACATAAAACCTTGCATAGATCTCAAAAACTTAATGGAACATTTTAGCTTAAAAAACAGTGTAATTTTTGAGAAGGAGGTGGGTTCAGGTTTTCTCCCTTTTATTTCTAAAATAATATAAAAAGTCTAAACAAAGCGATTGTTGTGTCTTGAGGGGGGAACTGATTTCTTTTATTATGACATGAGAACCACAAGAGAAGAGAATCTCTATCCCTCAAATACCAAGCAAATCTGTGCAAATCTACTTGCTGGGTTAGCCTATGAGCCCCAGCCAAGTAAGAATGGAAGAACCACCCAGAAAAAAACAAGACCAAAAACGGGCAACACCTGCCACATGCTCACAAACTAACAAATGGTTTTGGGGCAGATCAGGGGACATGGAGCAAGGTAGAGAGCAGGGAATTCTGAGTCTGACCAAGGGGAGAACAGTCAGGTATGAGGTAATATTGGTAGGAAAGAGTCTTGGTAAGGTAGACAAGTCAGGACCGACCATGAGGTTTTTTGGATATCGACGAGTCAGAATCTGCCTCTGGATTTAACACTCCGCTCCAGAAAAAAAATCCCATCAAAATTACCTTCAGGGCACCTCTGAAAAAATCCCTGACTCAAACAAACTATCCCTGACTATAACAAACTATGTATGGCTCTGCCCTAAGCTTCTTCTTTATAAGTCACAGAAATGACTTAATATCTGGACTTGTTTATGAAAGAATATCTAATTCTATCCAAATATCCAGTTTTTCCTACACTTATAAGAAAAAAGGAACTGAATGAGATTAGATAAATGAAACCTTGGCTATCCATTCATATTGTGGAATTGCAGAGAGATATTAACATGAATTTCTCAACTTATGAAATGGAGGAGATGGCATTAACTCTTCCACACAGGCAGGTCATCCTCTCAGCTCTTTGATGGGTCTTTGAGTTCAGCAGATTTAACAAAAGCAAAGGCAAGAAACAATAAAGCATTGGCAGCATGACCAAGCATCCTCCGCCTCTTAGTTACAAAATGACAAACCTGTAGCTACAATTACAGTCTAAGTCATTATTGCAATATTTCTCTAGATAAGCCTTTTCCAAAAGAAGAGGCTTTAGATCACCTATGTCTAATAAAATAGGCAAGCAGAATTAATATAAAAATATGAACCTTTGAGCTGTCACCATACATCCTGAACCAAAACCACGAGGCAGATGAACATTTCTTTTTGTTTTGCAGTTAACTTTAAATAATATGTGATGTGGTCTGACCTGGTAAAGCTCCTACTTCTCCTTATTGGTTGATCCCCAAACTCCATAAGCTGAAGGAATAACAAAATTTGCTGTATTTCTACATGCATTACAGTGTGAGTCACAGCTAAACCATGCTCAGAATGAAGTATTCCCTGTAGGTGGTGTGTAAACAGCTAATTTGGTGAAAAGATGTTATGCTAAAATGATCAACCATCAATTCTATGAGTGTATTGTACACTATTGGTGTATATCAGATTTCTTGACCTGTTTTGGTGGCACATAACTTCTGCAAAGACATCACTTTGAGAATTGATTATTAACTTTAATCCATTTTAAAACTCTCAATACAACATTTAGAAAATTTGTTCTTGAACCTTTCCATGGGCAGATCTTTACAGGGGCTGCACAGCTAGGAACACCCTGCTGACCGAGGAGGTGATAGGGCATTGATATAAGCAATATTCCAACTGGTTATTAACTCATTACAAAGTATTCCCCACGCCTGGCAACTGCTGCACCAGAGCTTAGCATGGAATACACGAGACAGTGATGCCAGGGCTCTGAAGCCAACATGGCTTTAGCCTCTTGCTGAAAGACAAAATACTTGGGGTTGCTAACGACTACTTGAAAGTCCCAGAATAAACCATCTCATCATCATGGCCCAAGCACCACTAAAAGCATTCTGTTGTTCTTACTTTTTCCAGTTAAAACCAAAAGCACTCAGAACCCAAAATATTTTTCCTTTGCTCCCAGAGCCAAAATGCCAAAAATGCTGTTTAGAGGTAGCTTGATCTCTACCCCAAGAAGAAGGGACCAGCTGCTCCATCTTTTTTTCACAATGCTCGCTACACTGTGGTGAACTAAGCCATGCAGTGGTTTGGGATCCACAACCACCAAGTCTTGCATTACAAAAAAAAGGAAATAAACCCTCCAAGGAAGAATGACTTCTAACTCAAAATTTCCCAGAGTGGCCCCAAGCACTCATCAGAAGAGACACAGGGAGAGAGCACTGAATTAACAACTGAAGCATAGTGCAACATAATTTCAGTTCTTAAAATAATCAGGCTGCAATACCACATGAAAAATCCAAGAAGCATCTGCAATGACATTCCATATTTTCCAGGAGAAAGAGGAGACAAATGGAGGAGACTGCACAAAGAGGTGTCAGACTCTGTATTAGCAACACAAGAGGCCCACTGTACAAAGCCCTTGTATCAGCCTCTGGTTGTGCACTCACTTACCTGACCAAGGGCAGGGAGTGCTGCATATCCCACGGGCTGATTTATCATTCCTTTCTGCTTCATGATGAGCATGCGTTTCTGCTCCTCGCTCAGGTGTGCCACGTGGGCTGGCACCTGGGCCTGCTGGGCCTGCTGCTGCTGCTGGATGTAGGGCACCATGGTGTTCTTCCCGGGGTTTGCCATTGCCGGGGCCATCATCTGACCCAGCTCAGTGCTGAAATGGGTCAGAGGTTTGGTGTTGCCATAAGAAAGCAGATTGGGCTGCTTGCCCAAGGAGTTTGTGACCAAATTATTTGGCTGCTGACTGATCATGTTCATATGATTTTGAGGGAGGTAGTTATTGATTGTGGTCTTCTGGGGGTTGTTTGCCATAGGAGGCACTACAGGGTTTTGGTTGTTAAAGGCTTGAGAATACATCATTGGGCTATTTGGTTTGTCTGCACTGAAGGGTGCTCCGTAGGGACTGGATGGAGGCCCCCCTGGTGACCAGCTTGAGGGCTGATTTGGGTGCTGCTGCTTCTGCTGCATGAGCTTGGCCCTTTGCTGCTGCTGGGCTGCCATCTGCTTGAGCTGCTCGGCTGGGGACAGGTCAGCGCTGGGGCCAGGCCCTGAGCCCGCCACGGCCGAGGCCGCGCTCATCAGGAAGCCATTCCCGGAGCGCCCCTGCGTTTGTCCGGGAGTGTGGGCCTGGCCGGGGGTCTGAGGGGACTGCACCACACAATTTGCTGGAGAGCCAGCAGGGACTGGGGCCAGCGGCGCGCTGGATGCTGAGGCAACGCTGGAGCCTGAGGAGATGTTGGAAAATGGAGGACCGGAAGAAGATGGTCTGACCTGGGGAGATCCCAATGGGACATGAGTGAATGGAGAATGGGATGGATCACTTTTCACGCTCGCGCTCTCCTGAGTCTCTGTGGCAGGCCTGGGATATTCAGGCTCCTTCTTCTCTTCAAAGTCTTCATTGAACAAATCCTGTATATCATCTTCTGGGACGGTGTTCGCCAGCTCGTCTATGAGCTCCTGCCACTCCTGATCATTTAGGTTAATGTCTGAGAAGAGCTTGTTCTGATTGGAAAGAGATGTTTCAGAAGTGTCTATGCAGTTGGAGTCATCCAGGGGCTCTTGCTTTAGCTCCTTGTTGTGCAGGATGTTAAAACCATCATCCAGCTCGCTGCAGCCGTTAACAGGGAGCTTTATCTCAGAAAGCCCACCGTTTTCACCCAAGTCTTCCAGACTACTCCTGTGAGTTCCACTGTTCTGCAGGAGCACAGGAGCTTTCATGTCAAGCTGGTGAAGAGGAGAAACAGCAGGCAAAGGCAGATTAATGGGCAAGCTGTTGATTGCCTCAATGCCTGGCCCATCCTTGCGTGTCCGCTTGCTGGTTGGAGAAAAGCCCCCATCGCAAACTCCATTCTGCTGCTCTCCATTGAGAGGTGAACGTGCGCCTTCCAACTTCCTTTTGACTGTCTCTTGAAGCTTAAAGAAAACAAGAGGAAAGGAAAAAATTAACCATTTGCAGACGCAAAAGAAGTGCTCATGGGCACTGTGACAAGAGGCTCCTCATCAAGCCAGTGACAATAAGTTTCAAAACTGGTTAGGAGGTTTCTCTGATTTCATTCTTATGCCTCGATCACTTTGAAAACACAGTCTAAAAACCCCCCAACAACCAAACACTTCCCACTGTCCCAAACCAAACCTTCCTTTGACTAGGAAAGCAGAACTGTAAAATATGTCTGTGCTTTCCAAGCTGAATCTGTGCTAGCTTCCAAGAAATTTAGGGAGCAAGTTGACTAATTTGACATTTTAGTGCCTAATACAGGGATAAGATTTAAACAGTGTGCCTAACACAGTGAGGAGTCTTAAAATGGAATTTTAAAAAAGAGAAAAAAGGAATCACTAAAACTTACTAGTCACTCCAAATTTTTTTGTTGTTGTTGGAAGTTTCTAGAAGCTTCTTAAAAAAGTAACTGCAATATAATTGATTGACTACTTATATTGAAATGTGTTGTTGACAAAAAAAAAATTGCATAGTTTCATTTGCTTAGCCCTATGTTCTTGGCTAACACATTGAGAATCACTTTTAAGGGAGAAAAAAAAAATCCACCCTAGAAAACAGAAGGTGCTTTGCATAACTTTAACTCAATCAAATAATGAAAAAAAAAAAAGGAATCAACTATGTGACTATGTGCTAAGGGCTAACATAAAACATAAATAGCTAACAGAAATAATGGCCAGGCAAGTCTACAGAAAAGCAAATAAATTGGAATATAGGAATTTTATAAAAAAATAGTGTATTAACATCAGTTTTGAATCTGGTTGTAGAAGCATAGCAAAGAACTGCAGCAAGCAGCAGTCCTCCCCACTCACACCCAAGCAGAGTCCTTTACTTATGTACCAGGCTAAAAAAGCGTCTCTCTTCACTAAGGCAAAAAACAATAGTGGGGAGGGGAGGAAGCAAAGAGGTCACAGCTCCAGCAAACGCCTTCAGGACACGCTTGCATCCTTGATACTAGAACAATAGAAGACAAAATACTGAAAGATTTTATCAGTTTTTAAAGTATTCTTACTGGTAGGAAAGTCCCAGATATGCAACTCCCACCCCTTCCCTAACCTAGAGGTCCTCAACCTTCTTTCTTCTCATAATCCAGATCTCATTTATTTCTCCCCTCCCAGAGGGCTGGTCCCCCTTTCATCCCATGCATAAGATGGGCAAGCAAACCCGTATCTTGCCCGGGTTCTGGGAAGGCTGTGCCCTTCTCTTGCCCCTCTTTCATCACACAGTGCAGAGGGATGTGGCCAGCACAGGCATTGCTGCAGCCACAGCTCAGCGTGCATGGGACACCAAGCTACTGTGAGGCTGCTCTTTTGCAGAGAGCCAGGCAGAAAGACAGTGCCATGAGCCTAAGCAGACCATCAACTCCTTGATTTTCACTGGAGCAGATCAGCTTTTTAATGTGGGAAGTCACTGTTGGCATAAGTGGCCAAGACTTTACTGCCTGTTCCACCCTGCACAAAGCCAGTGTGTGCCAAGCCTCCTGCAGGCAGAAATTCCTCCCCTTTGTGCTTCTGTGGTGCCACACAGACCAGCTGCCCTGTAACCACAGCCTCTGCCCCATGGCTGGGCTCCCCTCTCCAGTGTCTGGTCTCAAAACCCTGAATTTGGAGAGGTGTGGATGCTCATCTTGGAGATGAGAAGGTTCTGGGCAGACCTTTATAGCACCTTCCAGCACCCAGAGGGCCTACAAGAGAGCTGGAGAAGGACTTCTACAAGTGACAGGACAAGTTTGAAATGGATTCAAACTGACAGAAGGTGGGTTTAGGTTAGATATTAGTAAGAAATTCTTCCCGGTGAGGATGGTGAGGTGTTGGCACAGGTTGGTCAGTTGATGTAATGGGTTAAAATAGCATATTTATGTAAATGTAAAAATAGTATACTTAAATACTGCCCTTAATGGGCCCCTCCCACAATTTACAGCTGAAATCACCCATTTCAGCTCCTAAGCCATCACACTGCAAAGTCCCTATTGCCACAGCAGAAAAACTGCATTCCCCCAACAGCAAGTGACTCAAGAGTGAGCCCAATGGGAATGCTCAGGCAAAACCAGGATTTGAAGAAATGTTCAAAATGTGTCATGGCCCTTTACCCCAACTTCATATTGATCAGTGCTGGGATAAAGTAAGAACAGGACATGGTGGCAGGCTTCTCATCATGAAGTAAAGTTCTATAAGGAAAATATGGGGGAAAAAATTCCCTAATGACAAGGCAGGGACCAGTGAGAGTGATTATCTCCTGAGGAATACAAGTGAACTGACTCCATACATTTTGCAAGTTTGAATGAATACTCTACAAAAATATTGGTGAGAGTGATATGCTTTAACATGGTTTCACACTTCCAGGTTTTAAAACATTTACCATTTTATCCTGAATCTATCACCTTATTTGTATATGAATATACAAATTCAAAAGAATTTTCCAAAAAAATCAAAACTATCTAGTGGAAAATAACCAAATAACCAGCCCTAAAAATATCAGTTCCTAAAGTTTCATCATGTGCTGGAACTTGTATGTCCCCCTGTACAAATAGACAGTGACTTTAGCCCAGTATATAAATATTCATAATCATGTTATTATGCATTACAACAAAAAGCAGCTTGACATGAAAACTATTTTCTATGAAATATGAAACATACAGAAGTCGTGCTTTTTTGTAAAAAGAAATTAAATTAAATCTATTCTAATTTTGTTTATCCACATCGTTCTCCTTCAGAAGCTTTTGGATTTGGGGGGGCTAACAGGCACTAATATTTTTGTCTTCTTTGTTTGCTCATTGAAAAACTGTAGGTAGACAAAGACTTAATGTGAAAGGTTTGTTAGAAGGCAACATGCTGGGGAAGCCTCTTGATTCCAGCATTTTGGGGGAGTTGGGAGCCATGACAATAAATGTATCTCCTTTTTTTTGAGGTACAATGCAGAAATACTCTTATCAAATGATTTTAATGAAATATTTCCTTTTCATATCTTGATTTAATTCCCAATCACCATATGAACTCTTGAATGGTTTGGATATCCTACACTGAGCATATACTGGCAAACAGTTTACCACAATCAGGATTCCAGAGTGTCTTAGACTAAAACCCCAGCACTTCCCCTTCCCTCTATAAACACAATCCCTGAAGTAAAATAGTACCTTTTAAAGTACCCTCTCTCTCCTTCTCAGTACAAGCACACAGTTTGTGCATGTTTTATGGCATGCATTGTGAAGATATTAGCAGGAGCTGAGAGATTTAGGTCTCGGAACAGAAGATTGTTGACACATAGAATAAAAACAAAAGGAAAATATCAAAATCAAAGGAAAATATTGAAATAAAACAACCCCCTTTCAGCTTCACAAACTTTTAGCTTTATTCACACAAAATACTTGGCTGATGAATCTTCATTTCACTGCTGTTTTCTACCCCAAAGCACAAGAGGGGGAAGCAGGACTATCAGTTCTTTATAAGCCTTTGAAAAAACTCTAGTCGCAGACTGAGAAAAGGTCAGATTTTGGCAGGTTGACTTTTTAAATGGCTCTCGGTTGGAGGAGAGGCAGGGGCACAGAAACACAAACACACACCGAGCTGAAGGGTTGGGATGCAGCCCATCCTGAAACCCTGGCCAGCGCTGCTCGGACAGGCCGTGGCAGAGCCAGCAGATGCACGGCAGTGTGGGGAGGCTGTGGCAGGGCTTTCATCAGTGAGGAGAGGCTGCTGCGCTTCATCTCCCCAGCAGCAATCCATCTCTCAAAAGGAACGAGACAGAGGTGCAGTTGTTATAGCAACAGCCGGGCCCATCCTCCACCAGGAGCTGCCTTGGTGGGCGGCTGCTCCAGCCCCAGCGCACGGCAGGGACTGAGGCTGTGGCACCAGAACATCCTTTCATTGCTCCTCAAAGAACAGCACAAAAACCAGGGCGAGGCGGGGAGCCGAGAGGATAAATTCTCTCTATGCCCTGTTCACAGGGTCTGACACAGGTCCACTGCTCCTCTGAGCCCCCAGAGCAGGAGGCTGATGTCACTTTGTCACGTGTTTTTGTGTACCAGCTGCATGCAGCCACTGACTTTCCTCTGCCTAGGGCAGCTCCAGCAGCTTCAATACAAGACAAAGGCAGCAATTCTGAGAGGTTTGGTGCACTTGGCTTCCCAGCTCTGCTGGAATGTGCCCTGCTCTGGAGTTATCTTTGGGCTTTGGCTAGTTTCTCTGCTTTCCCACCAGGAGCAAAGTCCATCTCACTCAGAGGATATGCATGGTTACAAAAAACAGGGCTTATTATCTTCTCCACATGCTCTTCTGAGACTCTTTCTGTTAAAAATTGATCATTTCAGTTCTTCATGTTGAATCAGTCTGGCCCACCAGTCACCATGACCTTCAGTTCCTTTCCATGAAATGAATTTAAGTCTTGGGTCTTCCTCTAGGGTTTCTACTCTCCCTCCCAACAGTGTGACCATGTTCACAGGGGTCTTAGGATGAGGGAAGAGATGAGGATCTGACTCCATGTTTCAGAAGGCTGATTTATTATTTTATTATATATATTACATTAAAACTATACTTAAAGAATAGAAGAAAGGATTTCATCAGAAGGCTGGCTAAGAATAGAATAGGAAAGAATGATAGCAAAGGTTTGTGACTCGGCTCTCTGTCCAAGCCAGCTGACTGTGACTGGCCATTAATTACAAACATCCAACATGGGCCAATCACAGATGCACCTGTTGCATTCCATAGCAGCAGATAATGATTGTTTACATTTTGTTCCTGAGGCCTCTTGGCTTCTCAGGAGGAAAAATCCTAAGGAAAGAAATTTTCATAAAAGAGGTCTGCAACACACCAGTGTGTCTGTTCCTGAGTTTTCCCCCTCTTTCTTCTCCCTTCTTCTCCTAGAGCTTCTATAGAAAGATCTTGGTACTTCTTACCTCCAACAGGGAGTAGTTACCATGAGCTCTGCCAAACACCCCCCCCAATTCAGCAGTCTCCAGCCTGTACCCTAAAGACTGAGCAAAGTTTCCTACTTAACTTCTTGTGCTGTGCTTAAATCCTATCAACAATTCAGGAAGTGTCCCAGGGGTGGCTATGAAGTGACACTAAGCAAGTGGATTTGACATGACAGCATCTAAGATCAGTAAGGAATAATCAGCATTTCCATTTGCATGCCAGAAATTCAGCTTCAACCTTTGAAAGGATTTTTTGCATGCACCTCCTTGCTGTATCACCTCTGACACTGCCATTCAAAAGCCAATGTTGCCTGAGGTACAGCCACATCTTGTCACCAGTGTTTTAAGCCTACCAGCTCCACAGCAGCTTCCCAATGACACTTGCAGTGTCCTGCAGAGATCTGTCTCATTTAATCCTGCTTTGGCCCAATGGGGTAAACACTGGCAAAGCAGTGACCTCATTGCAGTGCCAGCACTGCTCCATTTGTGCAAGTCTCAGGAAGGTGTAAGAGCCTATAAGCTGAACTACTGAGCTGGCAGTACCTATTGCTGCCTCTCTCACCCAGCAGCTGCGATCTGCTCTCTCCGAAACTGTCCTTGCAGATGGCACGAGCTGCATTTTCAGGGTGTGTTATGAGAATTTAGTCAGGCAGCCTCCAATTGACGTGTCTGGGAGTTGTTCTGATAAGTCTTCACCCTTTCCAATCTGCTTCGTATCTGGACAGAAGAGAGGGTAATGATAAAAAGCACTCTGGAGATTATTAAAGCTGTGCCTCCCAAATTACCACAAATCAGGATTGAAAAGAAATGCAGGAACCTCTTGTGTTTTAAACTAAGAAGAAGCAAAACAGCACACCTGGTGCTGTTGCACGTGCACCACAGCTACTCAGCAGCTCTTTAAACTGTGTATGTGACACTGGAATGGTTTCCTGGGAAAAATCTTGTCCCAGTCCATCCTTGCACGAGCACAAGTTGTAGCAGGCTAGTGAATATGTTGATGGCATCCTGGCTGCCTAGCAAAGGGGTATGTTGGACATGAAAGCATTCCTGTCCTCTGCAAAGGAGGAGCAGCTCTGTGACACAGGCTCTGCTCTCCTTGTCATTAAGGCACCAGTAGCATGTGAGCTCTATTCCTGACTTCAGAACTGACAGACCAAAACCTTGTCTGACTGATGTAAGGGAAAAGCCCTTCCTATGCTTGGGGCAGGCAAATTATCTTCCAGCTGCTTGCAAAATACTGCCCTGGCACAACCTACATACATAATATATTACTGCAGACTATCCTCAGAGAAACTCTGAAGGAAGAACCAGAAGAGATGGTGAAGGCATGACAGAAATCCCCTGATGGCACCACAGATTGCCATGGACTGTGAGTTCCTACTGGATCTCTGTTACTACCGAAGCCTGTCTAGTGCATGATCTCTAGCAGAGAGACCAGGCGGACAGAAGGCTGAAAGCAGAAATGGCACAGTTGTCTTCCTGCACATTCACATCCCTGGTGTTAACTCCCAACGCACATCACCTCGTGGCAACAGAGCTACGTGTTCCATAGGTGCATGAGGCAGCACCTTCCAGTTCCTCAAATCAGTGTGGGCTAAGTCATTCCAGGCATTCTTCCACATGGCTAAGTTCAAGTTCATGCTTTCTGAAGCAAAGTGTTTCATACAACTGGAAAAGGAAGGAAATGAGAGCCACATGGTCTACACACTGTACCTGTTCAAGCCCACAGATTTTAGTCACCCTCTTGAGGTAACACCATAAATGAGGCTTCCACTTGAAAATAATTTAAATATCAAATTAACAGATTTCCACAACTAACACATTAAAAGAAAAATCTTGTGAATAGGTCATACTGTGCTGCAAACAAAATGGTAAATTTAGCCTCCTTTTTCCCATCTGTTCCCTGAACAGGCAGCTTGGCCGAGGACATAAGTCAGCTGAAGATTTCCCTGCAAGGACAAATACCTTTAAAGGAGTGCAGGTTATCTAAGTACAGATTGAACAATTAATGATACAGTAAGAATTGCAAAGCAGACCCAAGATATTTCACCTGAAATAGCAGGATTTGAGATGGAATTCCTGCCTTCAGTCGTGCCTTTGACTCCTGCACGGGGTTTGCAGCATCCACACCAGGAATTCTCATCGTATTTGGGTCCATTTAAGAAGAACTAATGGCCAAATTGCTGATAATCGAATTTCAGGGTGCTCCAAATCTGTGTGCAAACATCTCCTCCTGCTGCTCCAGTGCTTCTGCCTCACTTTGTGACACTTTATTGATTTTTTTTCCCCCTTCCTTTTCTTCCTCTCTGCGTGGAAACAAATTAAAGCAGGAATTGGGATTGTAAATAGATAATGGGACGTGAATGCAGAGTAATCAGTGCCAGCCATGTACAGCCATACTAATTGTGCCAGGGGAGGGAAAGGGATAAATATTTCATGCCTGGATTCAGTGGGAAGTGAGAGAGCAAGGAAAGAAATAAAAAAGAGTTGAGAAGGCCTCACTTCAGTGCTTTTTCTTCAAAAAGAGTTTTGATGGCATTAACCCCTCCTTGTTTTGAATTAAGGAATTTTGTTTAATGTGGAGGATTTGGTGTCACACAAGGGAAAAACATCTCAGGTTTGGGATGAATCCACCCTTCAAGGATGTGCTGATCAAAACCAAATCCAGGGATGTGGGACAGGAGAAGTTGAGCCTCATTCAGGCAGCTTTGCTTCATTCTTGTCTGGTTTTTATCTCAGGCACTTGAATTACAGCTGTGAAAGGGAAATTTGGCTCTGCATAGCTAAAGATTATTCCTGAGGGGTTTGCTGCTGCAGAATAAACAATGAAATGGCCCTTGAGGGGTGAAAACATTGAATTTAAGGGTGTTGTCATAAAAACCAGCCAGGAGAACTTACTCAGGATGGGTTTGGGGCATCCCATGTTTGATCTCAGCCCCAAATCTGGGTTTGGGGCATCCCTTGTTTGATCTCAGCCCCAAATCTGTTTGTTTGAACTCAATCTTTGAGAAAGTTTCCAATTCAGTGGGTTCAGCTGCCTTGGAGTTCCCCAAGGATGGCAAAAAGCCACAGAGGATCCATTTCTGCTCCACCTCATCCTCCTGAAAGAGCTGGGAACAGGGATGGAGAGAATCCATGGAGAAATGATTGGGAACAACCTTAAATCCCAGTTTTAAATCATCCCAGAGCACTTCAGGATCCAGGCACGGGATAATCCAGGGTTTGGATTGTACTGTAGGTGGCAGAGATGCTTTAGTTATGCACTAATCACCCTGCCAGCTCATTAAGGGACTGGGAGCGCAGGGATGCCATTAATTAACGCTGCCAATTCCAGCCTGAGGTCACCTCTGGATGGGCTGGGTGGCTGAAGGGCTCTTCAGGTGCTCCATGGGCTGCCAGGTCTGCTGCTAAATAATGTTTAATAATCAAATCTGAAATATCTTCCGGATGGAACAGATTCCCAGGATCCTTTTGCCTTTGTTAAAAAAGCAGGGGGTGTTGGGATGTCAAAAAAGAATGTTGGAATGGTAAAAATGGGGTGTTGAAATGGCAATAAAAGGTGTTAGATGCCACTGAAAGGTGTTGGAATGCCAATAATGGGTGTTGAAATTGCACTAATTTTTAAATAAGTGATAATTAGGGATTAAAATGATTAACTTTCATTAGCAGGAACACAGAGAGCATTGGTGTCCTCACCATGGTGAATGTCACCATTGTGGACCTCAGTCTCAGTCTGAAGTGTTGTTCCAGTCTAAAACTTGGTTTGGGACAAAACTCAGCCAGGAATTGTGATCTGGAGTTAAAAATGAAGCAAACAACATCATGTTTTAAAAGGAAATAAAATTATGAACAAATATGAAGGGCTGCTGCTGGGTTCTGGAGTTGTTCATTTGTGATCCTGGCTGGAATCTTCCTCAGGTTGGGATTGGTCATAAATAAAATAAAAAATAAGGATGTTCTTGCCATCCTTTCCCTTCCTGAGTTAAAATAAACAAGATTTTGGAGTGGGGTTAACCAAATGTGAAGAGATGAGCTTGGGAATGTTCTGTGCCTTAGGAAAAAGGACTGGGAACCTCTGTAATGACAAACATGGAGCCCTCAGCAGGGATTCCCATCAGGAATATGGGGCTGGAGGTAGCCCTGGAGTGGGGAGGGGGCTCTCCTTGGCTGTGTGGTACCCACAGAGGAGTTCCCAAAGTCCTGGGGGAGGATGATTGGCCTGGAGAGGGGGATTTGGGGTGTCCTGACGTGGTCCTGACGTGGCTGTGCTGCTTTGCTCTCTTGCAGGTTCACTGGGATGAATTTGCCTGCCCCTGTGATCAGCAGCAAAAATTGGCTGAGGCTGCACTTCACCTCTGATGGCAACCACAGGCAGAAGGGCTTCAGTGCCCAGTACCAAGGTAAGGAGGGAGAAATAAATGCCCTGGCCTGGCCTCACCCACCCCAGCCAGCCTCTTTCACCTATTCCACAATCATTCCAGTTTGATTTCCTCATTCCTCAATTTCACAAATCATTCCAGTTTGATTTCCTCATTCACCCATTTCACAACCATTCTGGTTTTATTTCCCCTTGTGGCCACCCTAGAAAACGACTCCAACTCTAATTAACTCTAATGGTTTATAAAAACATTGGTCTTGTAAGCCAAAGATTGAAGACTAGAGCTGTAAGGGGATAGAATATAAGAAAATAAAGATGGTGTAGAAAGAACATGGGTCTTTTAAGCCAAAGATTGAAGACTAAAGCTGTAAGAATATAAGAAAATAAAGATGGTGTAGAAAGTGATCTTGCCCCTAAGGAGTTGCAGCTGGGCCTAATTAGCAAAGATTAGGAACAGGCCCGACTTTAACAGGCCACAGCTGTAACTAATGAGGAGAAGAGTGCTATAAAAGAGTGGGTGGGTGGTTGAGAAGGGAATTGGGGTTAGTTGTCTGTTGTGGGAAGGAGAAAGAGTCACAGAGGAGCTCTGAGGAGATGTCCATGAGAAACACCAAGCAGGTATGGAACCTTTGTGATAGGAAGCAACAGCATGGAGCCCCTGTGATAAGGAGGCAACATAAACCCTTCTTAGAGGTTACCCCCCCATCTCAGGAAGAAAGGGCTCAAATCTTCTTTTCCAGCTCCCAAAGCTGATTTTAGGCTAAACTTCTTCCTACCCCCTAAACAACCTGAATTGCCCCTTGAGGTAAGGGGCACACACCAGCTCCAACACCACAAACAAGCCAACAACGACCCTCAGCCTCCATTTTAGAGTAACCCCAGCCAGGAATCCCCAGCTGCCTCCCTGCATGGTCCTGCTGCTGTTATTTTCCAGCTGGAATTCCCCAAAGTGTGGTGTTCATAGAAAAACCCAGCCTGGTTTGGGTTGGGAGTGACCTTAAAGCCTATCCACTGACACGTCCACTGTCCCAGGGTTCTCCAGGTCCCCTCATGGCCTTGGACATTCCCAGGGATTCAGGAGCTTCTCTAGGAAATCCATCTCAGCCCCTCCTCACCTTCACAGGGCAGAATTCAGGATTGGGATAAAGATTTCAGGATGGGGATGTTCAGGTGCTGTTGAGGGACAGGAGATCCTTTGGCAGTGAAGATTCTGCTCCTGGTGGGACCAGAATGGATTGAGTGGATTCCTTGGAGGTGTTCTCACCACTCCTGTGGTGTTTTTGAAGGAGGTTGTGGGTGCAGGATCCATGAGAGGGGGAATGAAGTTGGGAAGAAGCAGGAATGGTTTGAGTCCCCTCAGGGAGCTCCGCAGGTTTGTTCTCAAGAAGCCTTTGCTGGGAAAAAGCTCTGGAGAGGAGTCAGGGAGAAGGGAGAGGATTTTCTTTTCCTTGGATAAATCCACAGAGCTGCCTCGTTTGGGTGCTCTTAGCAGGGCTGTCATGGCCTCAACAAATGAACCACATCGTTATTTAACTTCCCTGCTTTCCTTGAACCTGTAAATCACTTTAAACTGCAAGAAAAAACAAGGAAAAAAGGACTTTAAACAAGGAAAAAAAAACCCTTTTGTTGTTGCTGTGCAGCATAAATGTCTGGAAAAAGCAGCTTCCCTGTGGATGGCTTTTCCATGGCTGTCAGGATTGCAGCTTCCACCAAAGCACCTGTCTTTGTCAGCCTTTCCCTGCACAGCAAAGTCAGGGTGAATGTCCCCATTCCCCTGCTCAGAGAAATGTCAGGGGGTTCTCATCTCATGTGCAGAGGGGATGGAGTGTTGGAAAATGAACTGAACTCCCCATTCTGAGCTGGAATCAGGACAGGACCTCAGCCCAGCTGCCAGAGGGACCTGCTCTCGTTTTCCCACTGTTTTTGTGGAGTTTGGCAGCTTCTTTCTGCCTTTCAATGCTTAAAAACCCAGCAAAACAAGCAGCCAAGCAGTGAAGATTCCCAGGGATGAAGGGAAGGTGTCTGCAGGCAGTGGGATCTGCAGGACAGGAGATGCTGAGACTTTAAAAACCTCCCTGTAACCCTTTCCACAACCTGGCCTGGCCATAAATATTTCAGTGGCGATAAATCCCTACAAAACAGGCCATGTAATTCCACAGCAAGCACAGCAGCTGAAATGCATTTTTCATCAGGAGAGCTGAATCAGGATCAGCCAGGAGAAGCAAGGGGAGGCTTTAGGGTGGCTCTAATTTGCTGTCTGTTTTCCAAAGACGTGTCTGTACATCATTTATGAACCCCCTGGGTCCTCTGGGACGGGGTCTGGCTTTGCTGATAATCTATAAGAAAACAATTTCCCTTCCAGCTTGTTTAAATTGATCCCGAGTTTTGCAGAACACCTTCCCTGTCTGTTCCCCCTCTGCTCTCCCTAATCCGTGCCCTCATTTGGAAATCACTTTAGGAATGTAAAAGCAAGGTTAGATGCAATCAGGCTGTGGAGAGGGTTTTTGTTTTTGTTTTTGTTGTTGAACACAGCAAATTCATTTTGTTCCCTTCCTGGGAGAGTTAAATATTTCCCTTTTCCCTTTCATTAAGGTGAATCTTGATTTTTGCAAATGTTTTTTCCCCATTCCCCATGTAAGGAAGTCAAAGGGACTGGGAGAAATGTGTGCAGAGAATTATTCTTAAAAATTATTTTTTATTTTCCTCCCCATCCTGTCTCCTCAAAAAGGTGGAAGAAAATAATCTACAAGTTTTTAATCAGGTGAGGTGGCAGCACCTCAGTGTCCCCCCCATCAGAGGAGCTGGGTGGGAATTTATAAAATCAGAAGGTTTTGGGAAAGCTGCAAAGGCTGGAATTGGAGAGATGGGAATGCTGCCCTGGCTGCTGCCCCTCTCTGCACATGTTTTATGGCAGAACTTGGCTCCCTAATTGCTCTGGAGCTGATTGGTACCAACACATAATTGCAGCTTTTATCGATCTCCCCGCCCCGGCCGCTTCCCTTCCCCGCAGGAGGAAGATAAATGGGATGAGCTCCAGCCCTGCACAGGACAGAGCTGCCTCCTTCAGGGAGGGGCTGGGGAGCTCCCTGCTGCTCGCCAGAGACACCTAAATGGCTTGGTGAGGGAGTCATGGAGTCTTGGAATGGTTTGGAATGGGTTTAAATCCCACCCAGTTCCACCCCTGCCGTGGGCAGCGACCTCCCAATGTCCCAGGGTGCTCCCAGCCCCATCCATGGCTTTGGTCTACAGATCTGTCCATGGGTAGATCTGTGGTTCTACCCATGGATGGATCAGTTTGGCTTGAGTTTGGACAGATCTTCGTCCCTCTTTGTCCTGGATCTCCCACTGCTCATCTTGGATCTTCCATTTCTCATCTTGGATCTTCTACTCATTATCCTGGATCTTCCCCTCTTCATCCTTATCTCTCACTGCTCATCTTGGATCTTCTACTCTTTATCCTGGATCTCCCACTGCTTGTCTTGGATTTTCTATTTCTCATCTTGGATGTTCTACTCTTTATCTTGAATCTCCCACTCCTCATTTTAGATCTTCCCCTCCTTGTTTTTGATCTTCCCCTAATTTTCAATCTTCCCCTTTTCATGTTGGATCTTCCATTCCTCACCTTGGATCTTCTATTTCATTTCTTGGATGTCCTACTGCTTATCTTGGATCTTCCCCTCTTCATCCTGATCTTCCATTCCTCATCTTGGATCTTCCACTCTTTATCCTGATCTTCCATTCATCATCCTGATCTTCCATTTCTCATTTTGCATCTTCTCCTTTTCATCTTGGATCTTTCCCCTCCTCATCTTGGATCTTCCATTTCCCATCTTGGATCTCCCCCTCCTCACCCTGGATCACACCCTTGGGTTCCAGAGGGATTTTTGCCTCCTTCCATGTGACCTGTGGAGTCTCCAGTGCAATTCTGGATAATCCCAGTGCTTGTGCAGGCTCTGATTCCCAAAATCCATTGCTCAGGCTGCCAGAAGAGGGATTTTTCCAAAGAGTTTCATTTGAGGGGGTTTCTCTTCACCTCCAAGAACCCCTGTGAGCATCCTGCTGCTGAACCATCCCAGCAGGAGGGAGAGATCCAGGCAGGATTTGGATTTAACAGCAATTCCCCCAACAAGGAGAGCAGAGCTTCATGGAATAGTTTTTTTTTTTCCTGTTGCTGTTGCTGAAACACTGTTTTCCAAATTAAAAATAAATAAATGTCTGCTTAAATCCTCATTTAGAGCAACATGAAGTGGTTTGAAAGGAACAGCCCGGCCTGCCTGCCATGCTGGCAGAGCTTTGTAATGTCATCTCTCAAATCTGACAGGATGCTGAGTATTCC